TAGCAACGAAACTCTGAGGGTCGTCTCTTCTTCTTGATCTCGTCCCTTGCTTGTGTGAATTTATTCCCACTCCAAGTACATTCCCTCTCTCTCTCCCATCTCTCTCTCCAGAGAGAGGGTGATAATTCACTGGTCCTGAACTTGAGGTCAATTTCACTTGCCCTTTTCAATCCCTAAGAAACTTAGTAGGGGCTAGTGGGAAATTCTGGGTCATAATCATCTTAACGGAAAGCCCCAGAATGAGATTAAAGATTTTTTTTTCTTCAGTTTGAAAGCTAAATGTCGGCCTTAAGACAACTGTGAATTATGTTTGGAAATTGTTCCCACCCAAGGCCTTCTGGAAAGAATTCAGGCTGCTAGCCATAGATCTAGAACCTCCACCAGGTTGTTCTCTGAAGACACACGGCAAATGTTGCTACCTAGAAATGAGGTGCTCGTCATGGGCCACATGGGCACTCTGACCCTTCGGTGGCTACATGGTTAAACGTTTTGCAAGTACTAAAACCTAGTGCGCCTTGAGTGCTTACAACCTGAGCTCTCCCTGCCTGTTGAGAGCCACAGCCACTGCCTCTCTCGGCCTGCCCAGCAGCTTCTGAGTTGTGGGCTCTGGTTGTCCCTGGTGTATCATTGAGGAGGCTGAGACATGAAGTTTCACTAACTTGCCCACCCGTGGCCGCCCAGTGGGAAGAACTGCACCCAAGATGGACAGCAGGAAGTTCTGATGTTGGAGCTCACCCTATTGGCCACTTGGTGGAAACGGAGTTTCCTCACTTCACTTTGGAGTCCACATTTTTTCAGAGGCCAGAGTTGAAGTGCAGGCCAGTAGCCACATTTAAAAAACAGAAGGCCCCTGAGAGCCCTTGAGTCAACCAGCAGCTGGCCAACATCTCCTCTGACCTGCTTTCCCTCTTGGCATTCCAACTAGGATGTCCCCCGACTGGACACAACAGAGCCTCAGCAACAGCAGCGTCAGGGCCGTGGGCTGGACTTTTCCAAGTGGCCACCTGATCTGTATGGGTGGCTACTAGTCCCAGAATCTTCGCTCTCAGCTCCAGAGCCAGTGCTCCCTTTGAAAACACAGCCAGGTTTATGGTAGCGCAGATGCTCACACCAACTCCACTAAAAAGCCAAAGGACGATGTAAAACTGATGATTATTTATTTATCTATTTATTTTTCTCTTGCCACAAAAGTGGGGAGGGTGACTTTGGCAACTGGAGCTTTGTCATGGTGTCACTGAGGGCCGAGCCTCTTGAAGCAGCCAAACGTCCCCAGCAATTCAAGTGAGTTCCTTGGTGACGAGGCCTTTATCCTGGAGAACAGTCTGGAAGTCTAGCAGATGGGCTCCATTTCCTCCCTACATAGGCCCCCTCCAAATCCTTTTAACATGACTCCTTCTGAATCTTAGAAGGGGGACAGAGGGAAAAGGCAGAAAGTCATGGGAAACGTTTTGACATCTTTCAAGACAAGGTAGACAAGGGGCTGGGCCCGGGGGCTGGGGAAGCAGCTTCACCAGTGGATAACCAGCTGTACTTCTGTGTCTGCAGCTCACAGTCTGCACAGCATCCTTCTCCTCAGCAGGCCGTGTTCAAAGAACTCTACTTTGGCAAAGATAAGGAAGAAGGGCTGCTTTTATTTTATCTAATATATTTTGGGTACCCATAAAACAAATTGAGATCATCACTTTGATTAGCCCGAAACACCATAAGCACTCTAGAGAGGCCGGGCAAAGATGCTTAGTGAGCATCAGCAAGCCCTGACCAAGCGAGGCATGTGTAGCCATTCCAGATGAATAATTAAAATGCAATAACACGGAATCCAGGGGAAGGCAGAAAAGGCATGTGAGACCTTTTCGTAAACAAGTGATCTGTAAGGCTTCCTCCTCATTTTGCACAGTTTCAGGATGGCAGTTTTTTTTTATTCACTGGGCAGTAAATGATTAACCAAAACAACTCTGCAGTGAACCATCCGGCAGTTTTTTTTTTTAAACTTGTTTTTGTTTTTCAAGATAAGGGGATTTTTTTTTTTATTAGCCCTGCAACCTGTTCCTTGTTTTTATGAAACACTACCCCATGTTTCCAGGCAGAAAAGCAAAATCTTGCGAAAGGTCATGTGATGTCATTTCAGCAATGTACAAATAAGAAGAAAACCCACTAACAAGCAATAAAGGATGTATCTGATAGTGATCTCTGGCAGCATATCTTACTGCTGAATGTAAGTATTCGTATTTGATTCTAGAAAGATTCCACTTTGAAAGTTGAGAGCTGCAAGCCCTTAATAAAAGCCACTTGTGTGTCAAGGGCTGGATTAATCTGAGTTGGATTTTGCAGGAAATCCAATCCTGCCCTCTGATAGGATCCACTTATCAGCATCCTCAGTGAGTTCAAGTGTGGGCAGATGGAGGAGGAGGCAGCTGAGAAAGCCTTTTCCTCTCCCCAGGGAAGGGGGCTGGTGCCTGAAAACACAGGAGAGGATCCCAAGGTCCACCCCTGAGCCTTGCAGGAGAATCTTACCTCTCTGCGGAGGCGTGGCCTGTCCCACGCTGTGAAAGCTGAATTCTAATGGCCTCTGGTGACCAGTGGAACACAACTAGGACTTGTGATTTTTCTCCCCGGGGGATTTTTGATAATTTCCGGAGACTGTTATGGTTGTCACACCAGGGGCCCCAGGGACACTTTATAAGTCAAGCAGATCAGAACAGTATAGCAAAAGGGCTCAGAAAATTAAATGGTCATCAGAACACGGGCCTACAGAAGTCAGGTCAGGATCCCTGTGCAGGATAACTGCCTGCAAAACTGCAAGATTCAAATAAGACAATAGCCAACGTGTCCAGAATGTAATAAAAAAGCAGCTGTCATGTCAAGAGTGAGGAAACCTCACGTTATTATGATCATTAGGCACCAGAGATGTAACCCAGGGATACTCTACCACCCCCGACCCCACTCTTTTTATTTTGAGACAGGGTCTCGCTTAATTGCTAAGGCTAGCCTTGAGATCGGGATCCTCCTGCCCCAGACTCCAGAGTTGCTAGGATTTCAGGCATGAGCCACCTTGCCCAGCTGAAAATAACATCTGGACTGAGAACAACAACAACAAGGCAATCAATGAACAGCACACAGATGGGTTGAGTGCTAGACTTATCCCATGAAGACTTCAAGGCAGTTATTATACCACTAAAGCTCAAGGAGCCATGATGAGTCTCCGGAAACAATTGAAAAATAGAAAATATCATTGAGGAAATAGAAGTCATTAACAAGAAGATCCCATGGGAATTATAGAACTTAAAATAATATAATAACAGAAATAAAAACTTCACTGTAGCAGGATAGAAACCCAGAGCACAGAATCAAAGAATCAAATCAGAGAGAAAATAGACTAAAAAAACACACACACACAACAACAACAGCAAAACAATGGGGGACTATTGAGAAAGAAAAAAAGAGGGGAAAAAAATAATAGCGTTGGAGTCCCACAATAGAATAGAAAAAGAGTGAGGCTCAAAGAGGATTTGGGGGAGGGAAAAAACAGATAATGGCTAAAAACTCCCCATTGGTGAAAGACATAAACCTACAGATTTAAGAAACTGAAAAATGTTCAAATATAGCTCAGCACACCATACCTGAACTTCTGAAAACTAAAAACAAACTTCTGAAAGCAGCCCCCCCCCCCAACATAGGACACCTTAACTGTAGGGGAGCACAAATGTAGATAGCTGCACACTTGTCACTTGAAACCATGGCCACCGAAAGGAAATGGCTCAGCCAACAGTGAGTGCTAGAAGAAGAACCTAGGACGAATCCTTTATCTTATGAAACTGTTCTTCAGAAGTCAAAGGTAAATGAAGACACTCTCCGGTGAAAGGAAACTAAAAGGTTGTGTTACTAGCTGACCTACCCTTAAAAAACAGCTAAAGATTCATAGTGGGGTAGGGAGAGGGAGCATGGGAGGAATAGATGAACCCTAGATAGGGCAGAGGGGTGGGAGGGGAGGGGAGGGGGCATGGGGTCAGAAATGATGGTGGAAAGTGATGATCATTATTATCCAAAGTACTTGTATGAAGACATGAATTGGTGTGAATATACTTTATATACCACCAGAGATATGAAAAATTGTGCTCTATATGTGTAATAAGAATTGTAATGAATTCTGCTGTCATTCATATATATATGAATATATACACTAAAGGAAGTCATTCAGCCTGGAAGACGATAAAAGAAGAAATCTGAAGCATCAGGAGAGACAGAGGAGCTGTCCTGTAAAGGACAGAAATACAGTACATGTGATTGACTAACTCTTCTCACGAGTTTCATGCATTCTACTTAATTTTTTTTTTAAAGAGAGAGTGA